GAGTAAAACCCTAAAAACCTTGAAGATGGACTCGAAGGCGATTTTGTACAGAGAAGCTAAATCAGGTTTACGATTTTTTTTTATTTTCTTTTTGGTACCAACTTTCGAGGATTGATTTATAAAAACGATATTTTGGGAGGGGTTTCTTTGCAAATTTAGTATTTCTGCACCAAAACAAATTGATACACATTACCACCACAAGGCCTGAACAGAGACAGAACAACTAATTTCCCGGCAAATGGTTCCCATGGAACATCCTCTTCCACTGTCGTTCGTCTTGCCAAATCAAGCCGACCTTCCTGGTCTAGCGTTAAACCTTCTTGACGGTAGTAGCTTCGAGGACCTTCAAGATCTGCTCCTCCACGCTTCGAATCTAACCTCTTGTTTAAAACACGACACTTCTCATCTAAAGGACCGTCTTCTCCATCTCCGGATGGATCTTACCAAACACGCCGTGTCCTGGATCTCCACTTCGCTTTCCGCTAAAGTTTCACTCGATGATTTGAGATCAAACCTCGAAAGCCTTTACAGTGTCCGTAAGTTACTACACCGAACAAACCCTCGTGTTTATCTGGTGATGATAGATATGAATTTTGTCTGATTGTCTCCCAAATTTCATTGTAGCTGGGGATTCTGTCGGAAAGCAAACGAATCGAGAGTTAAAGCAACTCGTTGAGGAATTGTGTCGAATACAGAATAGGCGTAGATATTTCGGTGAGTTGGTCTCGATTCTTGATCTTAATCGTTCAAGAGCTAACCTGGTTAAGGAAAGATTCAAATTTTTTTTTCCCAGTGACTGCTTTAAAGTTGGAAAGTCTAGTTGGAGATCTTGAAGATTCAGTGTTTCATCCTATGAGTAACCACCACAGAGGAAGTATGCTTCAAGTAAAGCTTTTTTAATTGCACAAGTAAATTTAGATACTATTACATATGGAGTTGTTGCTGGTTAATATGAAGAAAGATTACAACTTTTTGTCTTTTTAAGTGCAGGATCTTACATTGAAGCACAAGAGGTTTAATCATGCCATTAAGACCATGAATGAGATTGAAGAAATACTTGGTGATGTTACAAGACATCACTCACAGTGGCGCCGCCTTGTAGATTCTGTTGATAGTAGAGTAGATAAAAGTTTGTCCATTCTACGGCCACAAATTATCGCAGATCACCGAACTTTTCTCTCATCACTTGGCTGGCCACCGAAACTGGCAACATCCAAAGCCAAGCATGGGGAGGTTGCTAGTATCCCTAATCCTCTACTCTTGGTGCAAGGGGATAAAAAGGAGTCTTATTCTCAAAGCTTTCTACTCCTCTGTGGTTTACAGCAACTTAATACCCAGAAGGAAAAACGGAAGAAGCTTAATATGCCCAAAGAAAATAATAATGTTGGGCTTTGGGCAACCGATGAACTGGTAATACCGGTTGCATCTCGGATGGAGCATCATTTCACGAAATGGGCTGAACAACCTGAGTTTATCTTTGCACTTGTCTATAAAGTTACAAAAGACTTTGCTGATGGAGTGGACGATTTCTTACAGCCTTTGATTGACAGAGCTATGTTAGCTAGCTGTAGTGCTAAAGAAGCTTGGGTTTCAGCGATGGTCCAGATGCTATCGTCTTTCTTAGAGAAGAAGGTTTTTCCTGGGCTTATAGAAATGTTGCAGGAAAAGCACATGAAATCTGAAGTTATTTCATCGTGGTTCCATCTTGTCGATCAGATGGTTACATTTGATAAACGGATGCAGTCATTTGTAAACTCAGACATATGTCTTTTTCACGAAGGCTCTTCGATAGCGTTTTCTCAAGGTATGTCAGTAATGGGACTATTTTGTAAGAAACCCGAATGGCTCAAGATCTGGGGGAAGATTGAGCTAAAGGATGCTTATAGAAAACTTAAAGAGGATATCAAGAATGAGAAAGCTTGGTTCATTGATAGTGAGAGAACTAGACTTGGTAATGAATCCGACTCACGGTCTGCACAGTATGCTCTATCTACAAGAGAAGACTATAAAGCGCCATTTGTGGCAGACTCTTTTCTGAGTAGGACTTGGACGTTGATAGACCATGGTCTATCTCTACCGGCTATTATGCCAAGAATCCAATTTGTAAGAGCTACTGCGACCAAATTTCTGTGGTATATATTCAAAATTCTGTTACTGCAGTTCAAGAAGACTGATTTGTCCCAGTACAGTTCGTTTGAAGATACACTGATACAAGCCTGTGGACCAATTAATGCTGCTCGGTTTCTTGAATCGAAATTACGAGAATGGAGTGATGATTTGGTTCTTGTAGAGATGTGGGCTGCGGAAACAAGTGTTAAAGTTGATAGAAAATCTGAAGTTTCCTGCCAAGGCTGCTTTTTCGGGGAAGAACTGAAAAGCCTTGTTGAGTTGGAAACCAATTGGCTTATGGAGATAATAACAGTTTTGCTCCACCAGTTCGACAATCTTTGCAGCGACCACTTCCATAACAATGCGGTTTCATGGGAGGAGGACGTCATTACCTGTTCTAGCAATTTAACAGTGTCCCAGGGCATCGCAGAAGCGTTGGACAGTTTAAGAAGGCATCTATGTGTTCTTCAGCTAAACATGAACCCGAAAGACTTCTTGGACTTGTGGAGGAATCTTGCGGAAGGGATTGACCATTATGTTTCTTGTAAATTTTTCTCAGGAGAAGCTTTTTTACTGAAAAAAAGGTTTGAGGTTGACGCAGAGGCACTTCTCATGGTGTTTCAACCTTATTGTGTTCGTCCTGGTGCTTTTTTTCCTCGTGTGAGAGATATTCTTAGGCTGCTTAGGATGCAGGAGGAAGAGAAGGCAAAGATTGAGAGGAGCTCTAAGTCGAAAAGGAAGTAATTGTTTTAAGTATGTTTGGTATTTCTCACTCGTCTCCTCAACTTGTAGAACAATTTTGTAGATGCTACTAGTCATGAATGACATCTTGTCAAACACTTAAAAGC